GATAGCGACTAAGCGATTGTCTGGTTCCAGATTCGATAATTTACTAGACTGCCTCCCATATTGCTTTGGAATATTGCTGAAGATTGCGGCATTCAGCAACACACAAACAAAAGGCCAACATTATAGATTACGTCTCCTGTAGGCGCCGAGGTTTTGGTTCCGCTTCGGTTGCGCGGAATGTGGAATCATTTTTTCTTCGGCCCATTCGAATAATGGAAATCATATGTCTTGTTAGAAATTCAATATCGAAGCTTTTTTTCCATACATGTAGCATAAATGTAATTGCTACTTTTTGAGAATGTTATTTATGGTTGCTGTAAAACCTGGAAATGGTCAGAAACCTTCATGTATTTGGCATATCCAACCTTTTAAGCTCTAGGATAAGAAGTTGATTTGATTAACAAGGCATGTACTGCATCAAAGGAAACTACGCTATAAAAATAAATACATGAATATGTATGAATACGTTATATAGGACTCATATGGAACTTATAGATAGATTTGATTTTCTGCACCCGGTGCGTTGGTTTGACGTCATATGTATGCTGAGACTACAACTAATGAGTCGCTAGTCTGTCTCACAGTCCTGAACCACATTAATTTCCCTACTGCCAAGCCCTCTCTGCAGTGCTGAAGCCCTAAATAAAGCAAGTCTAGATTTCCTCAGGTTTCTGAATCTCTGGTCTCCCTAGGGCTCCTTTTCAATATAAATGGGCTTGTTTGTTACTATCAAAATTATATATATTCAGAGACTAAGCCTTAGTCTAGCCAGTCGCGCACGACTCTGCTTATGTCCTAGCTCTGGATATCAGGAGAAAGGCGGTCAAAATAGTTACGTCATCTCCGCGTTTCCTCGAGAAATAATCAGTCATTAATGCCACCCTCCGAAAATTCAGGAACGTTCTTGGGAGACAACCTGCTTTTTGTTTCTGCTTGCTCGGCTGACGTTCATTCCTTGCTGATGTTAAGGAACACATTTGAATTTACTAGCTTATGCTATATGTCGTCGTCCATAGCTGCGCAGGGGCCACACATTATGCCGAAGCACTACTGAGTTTATGATGCATTACTGAGTGGTTTTTTTTCAGGCGCGCATTTTCATACACGGTTTGAAAAGTGAACGTTGTGAAATTGCGCTCGCGTGGTCCTGGATCTACGTACGGCTATAAAAAGTACACAGAAATGTAGAATATTAAAATTACCTATCCGTTGGTATAAATATAAGTGCAATTACCTTGGCGGTTTGAGAAATAGACACTGCTAAATGTTGTCCAAAGTATGTTATGCGTTAAAAAACAGTAAATTTATCCGCTTTTTATCGCGCACCGATAAAAGCACTGTGCTACGAATTTTTAATGTGGCATCTTTACGGGAAGTGTGAGCGAAGAAAATACAGCCTGATATCTGAACGACATAAATGTATATGAATTGGGTTTTTAATTGCTTGTGCATAACGTTATACGCTCAACATTAAAAATGACTCGCAATAAATGTCAAAATGGATTTTTCTTCTATGACGTCAAACGACGACAGAGAGGTCATACTGCGTATAATGATAAGGGGCATAACTCCGTTATGCGTAACACTAGTCAATGTAACTCAGATCACTTGGAGAGTCTTTGTTGTGGATACGGACGCTATATTTTCGTTAGTTTATGTTCATGGTGAACCAAACTATTCCAATTCAAAAAGTTCCCCAATGTGAGCGGATGCAGTTGGTAGTTTCACAATTTACAAGAAAAATGACAACGTATTACATGTGAAAGCACGTTATAGCGATTTAGAAGGCCCTATCCGATATATAAGTTAGTTCTTAGATTCCCATATTCTCCTGTTTGTGTAGATGTAATTTGACTAATTTTGCATCGTTATTACCAAGTACTCAGCCATATCTTCAAATGTAATGATATTGCCGAAAATAATACAACATTTTAGTTGACGTCATTGCTTGTTTTATGCATTTTGCGACGTCGGAAAAAGACAACATTGGTATGCTGATTAGTATATATCTCCCCTAATTTCCATTAATTGTATAAAAGGTCTCGGCTTCTACGTGAGAATTAAACACTCTTTAGACAAAACATAAAATGACTGGTTTTCAATTTAAATGGTGTCCTGAATATATCAACAATTAAACGGTTTAACAGCGTATCTTATTTGTGAACAACACGAGCACCTGTTTGGCATCAATTTAACGTAAATAAAATAATATTTCACAACACCCGATGAATATTTTGTTTGGGGTAGAATTGTGTTTGTTTATGGTTATGTAGCTATTTCTCTTCATACGTATGCAATGGAAGATGCAAAACAGATAGCTTTTTATATATGGAACTAGTACGTACTATATATTAGAATATGGATGTAAGGTTTGTCCAGATTAAGACATGACATGGTTTATATATTTTTAAACAATTTTCGTATAAATATAGTTAGAATTTGATATCCTGTCATCACTGTATTTTAAATCGAATATGAATTGATTATATTATCGAAAACAATGATAGAAGAATCATAAAAACGTTTCCAGCAAACGCGCACCTAGCCAATCAATATGCATCATTCTTTTGTCTATAAAACGACACAAAATTATGCAATGAACAAGACAATTCCTTTAAATATGTGTGCATATACATTTCATACTATATATAAATCATTTTCGTTAATATTATCAGTTTTACATTTTAAGGTTGAATTAAATCACCGTTCATAAACCTGTTCATGTGAAATTGCAATGGCCAACACATCATAGGAACTAAAGTAATTGCAGTTATGGCTACGTTTGATCTTCTAACACTTGTGTAAAGGTTTAGAATATGGTGTACTGCACTTAATGTGTCAATTTCTTATGTAAATATTATTCAAACAATCAAAAACTTTCAAAGAATAAAACACCGTAAACCCTATATGCACGTATGATATGCTATTGAACAAGGCTAAATGTAGATACTGAAGTCAGTTTCATGAAAAGTATCTGAACTATTCGCAAAATATACACCATTATACTGACAGTGTAATCCCGAAGGATTGGGCGATTGTGTTTACTCTTGTTCAACCGACCTTCACCTCAAAGAAATTGCCCCACAATATGTACAACAATGTTGACGTATGACATCACTACCGATGACCTATTTCTTACAAAATGGCGGCTTTGCTGACAAGGATACCTAGAGATTTTGCGAGGACCCTTCCTTCGTTTGTACATAAATATGACACGTAAGTAATCAGAATGATTCTGACTATATGTGTATTGTTATGTACATGTATGTTTATCGTTTTTCACTGTAAGTAAGAGAAGAAGCCAGAAATGCAGATAATTACCGTTGTCGTTCTGCGTGATTTTGCGTCAGTCATGGCGTCACGCTGCACGGGAACTTTGACAATTTTATGAATTATCAAATCATTGCATTGTATCTATTTATAATTTCCCATTTCTTACTACGATACTCTTTCCATGCATATTCAAGGTATTGAGCCATTGCAAGCAATGAATAGACGGATGAATGTTGGAAAATTTCAGAAAATGCTATGCGAAGTGTAAATCGGAATTTGTCTTTTTGTTTACATTTCGAACAAGGGCAGTCTTTCGAGCACAGCGTTCGTTTTCACACCCCAATATGTTTCATCATATGTTATCTGGACAGTTAGTATTGGTGACAAAGACCAGTTGCAGTTTGATTCTAAAATGTATGGGAAATTCAGTGATGCATTTTTCGAAGCTGAATATGAAATATACGTTACGTAATAGGCGTCTCAATACCGGCCTTTGCAAAACGTGATTTTGTAAACACTATCCAATATGGCGGAAAGCGCTCTACGGCGTTCGTGTAAGTGTATTTTCGAAAACATCCCAACCGATTCTAGATTCATCGGCAACGTTTCAGAATTATCATTAGCGATATATCAGTGTTCATTAATATGTTATTTTTTATATTCAATACTCCCAGTAATTATCCGATTTTCACATTTCAAAACATACAGCAAATAACGCTGTGAATCGCGATTTCGTACTGTGTCAAAAATGTCGACATTTTCGATGAAGCCTATTTTGAAAGGTCATTTTCAGCACTTGAGCTTCGTCTAAAATACTAGTGGATGGTATCAAGAAACAGGAGATTTCCGCAGAATTCGAAACTGTGAAGTGTATTTGTGTGCGTGGGATATTTTTGATTTTTATTGGACTTCAATTGAGGGTTGAAGGGGAAGGACATACATGTCCCCTGTGGCACCCAGGGGTTTAAGGCATTTTTAATTAAATAATAAATAGTAACAATTAAATACCCGATCTATTTAACAAGGAATGTTCATGATTAGACAAGTTGCAATTTCAAACATGTTTCATAACAAAAAATGAGGTATCAATTGGCGTGGCTTTCTAAGCATAAGTCTATGATGCGACCTGCAGTTACTGCCTTCGCTTTTGTAGAGTTACAGTGACGTCGGAGTGAGCTGTTATGTGTGTTGTCAACGCAGGAGCGGTGAATGGCTTATTGCACACTGGGTTCGCTTGTCAAGCGGAAACAGTTTTGATTCCCCTAGACTATCAAATGTGTGTACTGTCCGTTTCTGGTTTCCAAAGCCGTTGTATTACTTGATTATTATAACATTCGTTTCAATTATCACCCCACCCATGTCCGCTTATGTACCAACACACCCAACCCAGAACGACATAACATTAGGATTAGAGAGGTATAATGAGAGAAGACTCTCGATTCTGTTAGTGGCAGAGCAGAGATGGATATAAATGTATCTATGTAAGAATAACCCCCACTCCATCCCACCCACCACCCAACCCATACTTCTTCCCTTTCCTCGCATCCACTCCACAGGAACTATCATAGGTAAACGTTTTTTGTGTGGATTATACCACGGATATTATTTTTTGAAGAATATGTCTCTAAGAGTAATCATATGAGCACTGTTTCCAGGGAAACAGTCATCGTTTTCATTCTGAAAATGTGTAAAACATTCACGACACAATTGTAAAACGAAACATCAAACACAGTTTGGAGTGCATAGCTTTTATTGTGGAAATCGCTATGCCATGGGGATTTTCAAGGTGTTTTGGCTATTCATATCCATATTGGTATTTGCATGTGATAGGCACAAAGCTGATCATAACAAGTCATACGGTGCTTAACATTACATTCAACGTAGCTTTAACATCTATAAACATCTTTTTAAAAATGTGAACCCGTATTTCTTTGGTTTTATACATCACAGATGTGCATCAATGAGAATATTCAGCCATGTAAAATCCGTTCCCTTCATAACGTAAAACGACCTATTAAATCGCCAACAAGGTGAAGTAGTTCAGATCCTGTATAGTCCAAAGTAATACCAATCCTTCGTAGCCAGACTGAGTTACTCTTGATATGTCAACACGAAGCTTGATCCCCAGCATTGAGCTCTAGTATTCCACCGGATGTCACTTTTGGTAGCACCAGACCTCCGCCCTTCAACGTTGTACCTATTCCCACTGACTATGTCCTGAAAAGCGATGTTTTCCTCCTGTTTCTCTGCATTGTATCTGGTTATGCGGTGCAGGAAATCAGACTCGTCATCAGCGTGAAATGTAACATGGCTATATACCATATACACCGGCAGCAGGAACACTGATGCTGCCATGATCATTCTGCATCCCGTTGTACCAGGACTTGTCTTTCCGGCGCAACCATAGTTTTGGCAGCCCACCCTCTTGCAGGAGTAACTCTGAGGTGGTCTTCTGAAGAATGAACCAAGCATAGAAGTAAGTTAATATCTTCTATGCTTTTTGGAGCCATACACTTACGAAAAACCTGAAACGGATGCAAATCCAACATTGATATAAATATGTGTGTGTGTGTGTTAGCGTGTCATATTTTTGGAACACACAAGTTGCTGAAATTTGTGTCTGAAATCAATGCCCACTCTTCTAATGTATGATGGAAGCAACTCGAAGGTTATAACAGGAATGTATTACGATATCACCATGGTTTTATAATGTGGATAATATGTACATGTGATCTAATTCTCATGTAGTTCATGGGGGTAAAACGACAAGTCCATACCTTTCATAAGTCCAGTGTTGTTAAGCCCCGTGTAGAAGGCTATAGGTTTTAGCAGGTTGGCCATCTGCGAGGATGTGTTCATTGCTCCCACATCTGTAACACATTAACACTGTAACCCAAAGGTAAATTCGAGCGAATACATAGGATACGTAACCAACAGGTGCAATATATATGACCAAAATTATCCTGCAATACATACCTTTTATTCCTGTCATTGTGCACATAGGAATACACATTGATCCTTCGGTTAATGTATTAAAACACATATCAGAGGTTCAAACATCAACTCACCGTTAGTTTTATCCTCGGGCTTCCCATGAACGGTTGCCAGCAGTTCCGTGTAAATCTACAATAACACATATATCAATGTGTTTGGTTAGGATGTATATTCCGAGCCATATTCTTTATTTCAGTTTTACGCAGAAACAATTCTTCACTAATTTCATAATGCCCATTTGAGAACAACTACACTAATTTAAACAGCATTACATTTTAAAGAATAAATGATATACTGTAAAACAACTTAAATAGAATATTATTTTTAGTCATCATTCCCTCTTTATTGATTATTGACATCATTTCCAATACACAAAATCTGGTACATATATATAAATACAATATTAAGAATGAAAGACGATCTCCATATTTGTACCTGACCTGGTCAATTGTTTTCTTAAAATTCTGAGATGAGACAGAACCTTCATTTACTTGTTGTTCATTATTTAGTCTTGTTACCAGTAGGCAAGCAACAACAATTCCGACAGTTACGTTCAAAATCAATGTGGACACAAGGACAGCTTTCACCCACGTGTTCATAATGCAGCCTGAAATAAAGAAATAGAACCGATAAGACATCGTCCAAATTACATTTGTAGCTGGTGATTAGTTGAGTGTGAGAGTCAGTTTACGCCGCTTTTACTCCAATACTCCAGCAGCAAAATCATTGCGGGGAATCCGAAATGGCGGCTACATACTTTGGGGAATCGACATGATGTGACCAGAGAAAGCTCTTAAACCACGAGGTTAACCCTACCGTCCTGGGGTGACTTATCCCACACTTCAACCCGGTGAAATACAGGTGCGAGAAAGATGTTAAAGTACAAACTATGACAACCTGTGTCCCCGCAATACCACCCCTCCCTCCTTCGGATGCCCCTCCCACAAGAACAATATTTAAACAAGTCTTTTCATATTTCCAGGCCGTTCACATATGCACTACTTGCAAGTGCACTCAACAAGAACACATACTGTACAAGCACTGTTCGGGCCAAGTGGAAACGCATAACAAACTCAGCTTGCAACTGGACAGGTTATATTTGAGTTATTTTTAGTTTTGTTGCGCGATATCTTATACAGTGCATGCGTTGCTTGTAGTATCGCCAGTGCGGGAACGTTGAGTCGTCAAATACATGTATACACATGGGGCCGTGCTATCAGTTGAAATCTGCTTCCATGTTTATGTTTATGTAGAGGAAACCGGTCGTGGCAATTGCCATGTGTGAAATCGAGATGTTTCTCTTTAAGATTGCGATCGTCAAGAATGGACATGTGACATGATGAAATGGAATGTTTATAAGACAGAAAATTCTAAATTTATAAAATCCGAATTCCTTATAACTGTACATAAGAAGAAAGACTCCTATAACTGAAGAGATCGCTATGGTGTGTCCTTGTTGGACAACTGTGTAAAGTATATACTACTGGTACGAAAGGTATCTAAATATGGCATAACAGTATCGTAGTGTCAGGTCGTCATGATTGAATGATATTGTTTCCTGGTTAACTTACTCATTTACACAAACACGGCTTTCTGATGAATTGTATGGACAGAGAAAATAGATAAAGCTTACACAGTCGAGCGTTTCCATAATCCCTCAAATCCCTCGAGAGTTGGCAAAACACAGGCCACCCCCTGACAATGTTCAGTGTATGAATGAATACCTTACCTCTTCACTGATTGCCCTCGTGTGAGCAGTCAGTCATCACTCCCGTATACCGGAACAAATGTGCACGGGTATTGCCTTATACGGATGTAACTGATATTGTAGCCAATCGCGTTATCCGTTATATCGCAGGCGAGCCAGTTCTTGCATGCTGATTCAATGACTCCGAGTTAACACACTTATATGAAATCGATATAACTCGCAAACAAATGCGTGGAAAGCAAAACAGGACTGAGAACACAATTGAGTGGATAGTGTTTCCCTCTCTTTCATTCACCTGTGAAGTTATATCCGGTATTGAACGAGGAGGAGCAATATGTGATTGTTGTTTGACAAGCAGGGCATCAATGTTTGAGCATTGTTAAGGTGATTACACTCACGTAGTCTATTTTTATGACACAAGCCTTATACTTCTGAATAAAAATATTATCAACACATCATCGTGAAACTGAACCAATTTCACACGTTTTTATTACTTTAATGTACGACATATGCATAGTCAGCGAGACCATGGAATTGTTTGTATTACAATGTATTGTAAGCTGTTGCATATATTACATGTATTGTATGTATTTCAGAGTACTTTGCACCAACAATGTGACGATATATAACATAGTTGACGGGGTCAGACATGTATTTACACATAAGTCACACCTTGACAGCCTCCAGATTCCACCTGTTGTCACAGTGACACACCGTTTGTACTTCCGCATTCGAATATCCTTGCTTTACCGTTTTTCCTTTTCTTCAGTTGTTAGTCAAGGTCCAGGTAGAGATAATTTGAAGTATTCCAAGCATTCAGCCGAGACATACAGACACACAAATATTTTATTTACGTCTCACCGCTGTACATCTTACAAAAAACGTATATAGAGAAAAAAGAATTGGTACAGTAAGAATAATGGTACAGCGCCCATCACTAGTTACGCGAGACGGTAAAAACATATATTAATGCAGACATTTATGCATATATATAAGCGATAGTTTATCCATATAAAATACGTTTACAACTTTTATCTCAGGCTGTTTGAAATGTCTGTTCAACCACCTGAGTCCATCAGGTGGCCACGGTTTTATGTCTAATGTAAAAAAGTTAAGCAATGGCCAAGCGGCCCACATCGGAGGTGATTGTCAGTGGTCCAGCGGTCCCACATCAAGCATAATATGCTCATATTCACTGTCATCCCGTGTCGCATTTCTGTATGTTAATGCCTATATTTGTATGTCAAATGGTTTCAACGCAAACCTAAAATCAGCCTCCTCTCTTAAATCAGAATAAAAAGAAATAAGTCGACAGCGTGGGTACAAATTTTAAGACAAAATATACAGGGTTTTTAAGATGAAAAATGTAGAATATTTTGATATTACACCTTCAGGTTTTTTAATAAGGACATATGATAAACGTTGATTGTTTGATCCGTATTGTAAAAGTTGGTGAGTCAATAATAAAACGTGTAACTTTATTGATAACAACGTCTTTTTTATTACACAGAGCGACGTTTCAGTGTAGATTCTTACATGGTTTACAAGCTAAAAGTGATTAGAACTAAGTGTGGGGAAGTATATATACATAGTGTGTATCGGATTAACTCTAACAACAGCTTGTAATTGTATAGCAAGAGGTACATAATTGGATGAGGCCAGTTGGGGATTAGAACAACAATTAGCACAGGTGATGAAGCAGATAAGCCGGGGAAATATAACGTGTATAATATTTTCAGGACGTTCTTAGATAACATGCTTAGCATTGCTCTATAACACACGTAAACAGGTATGATATTACATATTCAGGATCTTGTTAAACGACATGTATGGTATGACACATTCAATATTATGTGATACAATAAATGTAAAACATGCGTGATGTCATATTATTATAATGGGATATTACAAATTCAGATCTGGATTTTGTGAAATGACATAAGTAACATGTATAGTATTGCACATTCATGGTATGGTTATACTACATATGTAAGATATGTATAATATTACACATCCATGATGTTGCTACATGGCATATTTAACTTATGTAAAATAGTACATTTATTTACATGATTTTGTTGTATGACAAGTATGATATTACACATTCATGATCTTTTGTAACACAACAAATGTAAAACAGATGTACTATTACACATTCAAAAAATTTCTACACGAAATATATGTAGGATATTACACTTTCATGATTTTCTTATGTCACATGAAAACTATGTAAAATATTCCACATTCCTGATTTTGTTATCTGTCGTGTGCACATTCAATATTTTGTAGCATAACAAATGTAAATGTGTACACTATCACACATTCATGATTTTGTTATGTGTTATGTATAGTATTACACATTAAATATTTTGTAATAAAACAAATTTAAAATATGTATGCTATCAAACAATCAGGTTTTGTCATATGACAAAATTATGTAAAATGTCTTAAATATTTCACATCCATGATTTTTGTTGCATTATATATGTAAAATAGGTATAATACTACATATTCTTGATTTTGTTATGCGACATGAATAGTATAAAACACTCAATATTTTGTTATATAACAAACGTAACATATGTATGATATTGCACATTTATGACTTTGTTACATGACATATTTAACATATGCATAATATTACACATTTTTGATTTTGTTACTTGACATATGTAAAATATGCAAAATATTACACATTCAGGACATATATAACCTCTGGAATGACAATAGATAGGAATTGGCGGGCAAAATATACGCTGGGAGAAATAACCTGGCACTATTAAAATACTACCATGCAAATATTGTCAAGTAATTATGGACTATGTCTTATACAAGGTCAACCTTTGTTACTGTACACACAGTGCGACAGTAGAATTATTTCTACATTCATGACAATGGATGCATAATTCCATTTAGACTTTGTCTGATAGTTACAGCATTTCAGGCAACCGGACAGATATCAATGGAAGGAAAAATGTAATGAGTGAGTGAACTTAATCTTACGCCACTTTTAGCAATAATCCAGCAATGTCACGACAGGGGACACCAAAAATGGGCTTCAAAATTGTATCCATGCGGGGAATTGAACCCTGGCTTTTCTATGGAATACTGTAAGGGACATTGGCGCGATCTCGACCTCTGGAAACAAGGTAAAAATGCTAAAAGTGCGAGAATGCGAGAACGCGAGATTTGGCCAAAATCTCGCGTTCTCGCGATCTCGCATTCTCGTGTTTTTGGTACATAGCACTTTTTGTCAAAAGTTGACAACGCGAGAATGCGACATTTGTACATGCTGTCAAATCTGGCAATCTCGCAATCTCGACTTGTCAAATAAGGCCACAAAAACACGAAATCGCGAGAAAGCGACATTTCATTTTCTCGCGTTCTCGCGATCTCGCCTTTTAGACGCTGTCGTTGCGCATGCGTAATATCATAAGGTCAAGGCGCATGCGCATCTTAATAGTGTTGTGGTCATGCTTCTTTCATGGTTTTCATTTCCCAAGTAGCATTTAGCAAAATTATAATATACATACACGAAGTGTAGGGTAGTGTATATAAGTCCGCTGCCGTTGTTACGATTTCTTATGTACTTAAAAATCCCCAACATGTTAAATATAACGAAATTGTGAATATGAATGTCCAATAAAAGTGAAAACATGAAAGTGTCTGGAAGCTGGAAAATATATTAACGTCGGTGAGTGATAAAATAGTGCTTAAAGCCGCATCAATTCGCAGCTACACCGTCAGTTATAGAAATAAACACAGACCAGTGGGTTTCTCCATGATACGACATCTTATACGGCTAGCATATTCATTCAAACAAAATTCTAACCGACCACTTTGTAGCAGTCGGCTTAAATGAGCATGTCTGATGTTTTACTCGACACCATATTCGCTAGTTTAGGCCATAAAATATTAATTAATAGATATTTTTCCGCTCCCGCCTGTCTACAAAACACCCTGTCTTACATTATTCTTTCGTCTCCAAGTTCCAAGAAACAGAAATGCATTTGTACCAATAATATTTGTGTTCCTGTGGCAGCCATGATTGTGGAGATTACGGGTTATGAGTGAGATATCTGGAAAAATGTAAGTGGTTAAAGGGAGATAATTGCAATGCTACTGCCGTGAAAGCACTGTCGGGATCGTGATTTGTCTACCTTTTCTTTTCAGATTTTATCGATGCGTAGTTTGTTCAATGCATGTGTGTATGGTTCATAGCGACACGCAAACCTATATCAAATTACTTGATGACAAAAGTCGTTACTGTTTTGTACAAACACATCCTTTCTAATTCTAAACGTTTTCTGTTTGTGGGAGATTTAGAGGTTAGGTATGTGGTAATAACATACCGCATATCAACCAGAGATCATGTAACATTCTGCAGAGGACATCCTCACATCAGATATCTGTCAGAAAATGAATATCAGTAAACGATTATGAAATGAAATACGATCATTGGCCGTTATGTCAGCGGTATATGTTCGTTATTCGATACTAAGATATCCGAGAAATAGATGACAAGGATAGACCGTTATGTCCGCGGTATAAGTTCTTTATTCAACACAGAGATATCCAAGAAATGTGCGAATCATCGTACTCACAACATGTTCATTCGGATGAACATTAGTACTCTCTGCAGCAATTGTCATGTCCCAGACATCGAGATAAAACACCCGGTCATACAAAGTAACAAACTCCTGTTTGATGATGTTTTGGTATATAGGTCCCCACAACCCACCAAGAGTATGATTGCTTACGGGATGTATGTAATTGTGGGGTCCTTTGATAGCTATTTTAATATCAGGAGATCGTATCAATAGATTCTGTATTGAAATCCGCGTGCGTTTCATTTGATCCCTAAACATGTGCACAGGAAACAGGTTGAAATGAACGTATAGATTGATGAGGATGATGTCTCTCGACCCTGAAGGTATTTCATCTAAACGGACAAATACTGGTCTACTCGCAGTCCTATTGGCATTGAAATAGGACATCGGGAGA